GAATAAAGTGTGTCGAAAACCTTTTCTTCTACTTACAAAAATTGTAACAGAGTTTATTCGATCAAATTTTTGATTATTCAGCGTTTTTTAGGCATCTTTCCTTCTTTAAACAGCGATGGTATAAAGGTGTACATAGACGCTTTATTCTCATGTGAAATAATGTTTAATTAGACACTATTATACATTTATTAAACGATTATTCAACTACGGGATAAGTAATCCGAAAATAAGAATGGGACAGAGCAGGGTTGTTCCTTAAGGGATTGTTGTGTCATTATTTCTGTTGAAGCACGCACCCACCACATAATCCTAGAAAATTTATTACATACACCCATGTAATATGGGATTCGAACCATGACCTTTCAATCACCAGCCGCTTGCCTTGCCATCTGAGCTATCCTAGAAATGATGTATTCTAGGGAAGCTAAATGTATGGGAAGCTAAATAAGTAATAAAAGCTTGAATCTGAAAACTTATCAGCACTCCCAGCCATAACTCTAGCTAATTCAAGGGGATGTGAGAATGATTAATTAATTCATAGTTGTTTAACATGAGACCAACGTTACCTCTCCATCTCTCTAATTTCGATGGAAAGGATGCTATTCTTTTCGATAGATCTATGAATTGGTATTAGTGAGTGATACGATCTATGATTACGATTTAAATTATTTAGGCGTAGAAAATAAATAAAAAAGGGTTGAGATTGGGATTGAACTCTCGACCTTCTACTTGGAAAGCGGAAACGGTAACCACTATGCTACCATTTTCGTTTGGTTGTTAGCCTGAAGCAGTGTTGTCGAATAATGAATGAATACGCCGTTTGTTAAGCATTTACAAAGCATGAAATTAAAACATGGACAAATAGTGGTATAACATTTATTATGCTGACTGTATTCACATTTATTCAGCAATATTGTTAAACAATGCAATGGAATCTAATAATGGAGCTAGAAAATAATTATTAGACATTAGACGTATAAAGCGTCAATGTATGTGCAAATTACACTTATTCAGTATGTTATTAGATCAAACTTTTGGTGTTGAATCAGGAAGACAGTCATCGTTTGTATAGCTTTCAATAAGTATATTAATCAAATCAGATCAATCAGCGGAATAAAGGCGCATCATCGATCTCAATGAGGTTTTTTGAGCACATAATTTGACAACCTGTTTTTTTCCCCAGCACACTATTATAGAGCATGTATTCAATCCATATGCTTATTTGTAGGGGCCTCATAGCCTAGTCAGTAAAGGCACGGTATTACCAAGCCGGAGGCGACGGGTTCGATTCCCGGTCCGGTCGAGGGAATCTTTCGGGTTGGAAATTTTCTCGACTTCCCTGGGCATAGAGTATCATTGTGCTTGCCACACAATATACAAATTCATGCATTGGTATTGGCATCGAAAGCTCTCAATTAATAACTGTGGAAGTGCATTTAGAACACTAAGTTGAGAGCAGGAAATAAGCTAATATGCGCTAAGCAATAAGCTTGAAATGCGAACAAGAAGAAGAAGATGCTTATTTGTGACTCTGAATAGTTTGTGGGGCAGTGATGTGGAATATTGAATCTAATACGCCGTTTATAAAGCATTTATGAAGCATGCAATTACAACATGGACGCATAGTGGTATAAGAGATATTTTGCTGACTGTATTCACCTTTATACAGCAATATTGTAAAGCAATCTAATGAAACTTTATAATGAAGCTAGAAAACATTTATAAGACGTCTAATAAAGCATTGTATTAAATCAATTGAAAACAGTCGAATTAAATGGTCCATGTATGTGCAAATTACACTTATTCAATTTGTTATTAATTCAAACTTCTGGTTCTGAATCAGGAAGACAGTAAACGTTTATATAGCTTTTAATTAGTAAATTCATCACATCAGAGCAAATGGCGGAATAAAGGCGCATCTATCGATCTCAATAAGCTTTTTTCAGCACATAATTCAACATCCTGTTTTAGTCAGCATTGTACACTGTTATACAGCATTTATTCAATGTGTATGCTTATTTGTGACTTTGAATTGTTTGTTGGGTAGTAGCCGGCGCCGGTGGTGTAGTGTCAAGCGTGACTGCTTTCTCATCCCAATGGGTCTAGGTTCAATCCTAGCCGAGGTCGGTGGGATTTTTCAGAGGCATAAAAATCTCTGGTCACGTCTTCCTTCGGAAGGGAAGTAAAGCCGTTGGTCCCAGCCCATGTGTGTGGAATGGGTGCGATATCCTACGCAGGTGTGGAAGCTGCCTTCCTGCACATTCGATTACCGTCAATGGATGACAATCGATGTCCGTTGGTGATTGGCACTAGATTGCGAAACAGAGACCGACGTTAAATAAAGGAAAGAAGAAGAAGAATAAAATATCAAAGTAGTTGATTGCGTTCAGAAATAACGTCAAATGTAGCTCGAAAGAAGAAAAAATAATGTGCACAAACACCTGGAAAATCCGGAGTGGTCCGGTTCCAAACTGGCTAAAGTGCTGAAGATGCCGAAAACAACAGTTTGCCCGAGTGCTCAAAACCTACAAAGAAACCCTTAGTGTGGAAAGGAACAAGTTGACCTACGAAAAAACTGGAATCAGGGATCGTCAGCTGCACAGCAAGGAGTTGAGGTGCGTTGAAGCCAACCCCGGTCTTTCGATCCGAGATGTGCCATCTTTCAAACGGTACAGAACATCGTTGTCAGGGAATCATACAAGTCGTACAAAGCCAGTTAACATCCGAACCAGCAAATGAAGCAGAATTCCTTGGCCAAAAAGTAGCTTCCCGGCCAAAAGTTTTATATCGCGACTGGACGTGAGGATGTGCCAGGAAGATCCTAGTTCGTGTTTGCCGACAAGTTCGCGAAATATGCCATGATTTTGCAAGCGATTTGCAGTTGTGGCCTGAAAACGGAACCATTCGTCACATCCTCGACGATGACATCCTAATTTTACATCGAAGAATGCCTGAAAAAGCGCGTATTGCCATTTATCCGCAAGCAGAGGGGCAAAGTCATCTTTTGGCCCGATTTGGCCAGCTGCCACTACTTCAAGGTGGTTCTGGAGTGGTATGCGGCCAACAAGATCGGTTTTGTCCCCAAGCTAATGAATCCTCCGAATTTCGCGGAATTTCGACCAATCGGAAAATAATGGGCAATTTCAAAGCAGCGGCTTCGACGAAGCGGTGGCGCAGTCAAGAACATCCAGCAAAATGGGATAAATGCGCTGATTCCGGGTCCGTTTCCACTGTGCGGACGCTGATGTGTTCCATCAAGAGGAAGGTTCGAGATTTCGTTCGAACTGGAGAAATGTAACCATTTAATGCTGTGACTTTAAAGTTTTAATAAAAGTACTGTAAAGCAACCATTAATGGACTTTTTAAACTTTTTGAATCACGAATTACAGGTCTTTTTGTGCGTACCAATTTACTTTTAGTCTTAAACTTAAAAGGACCAGTGCAGTATGATTTCGCAACCAAATGACGTCAAACTTCGGGAGTATAGTCAGAACCTGATTTATAAATTAAGTTAAGTTAAGGGGGGTACAATTAGAATTTTTTTTTCGAAAATTTTTTGTTGGCTTAATTTACTCTATATGTATCTGGGAATGAGCCTTTAAAAGCATAAAGCCGTCCGAAACTTATTTAAAAAGTTATACGCAATTCAGTGAGTGCATGTCAAATGGCTGAACATGTCAAAGTTGAACTTTAAATGCTTCTACTAGTAGTGTTTTCAAAATCGCCGTGCAATGTACAGGTCAGAGTTTTCATTCAAATCGATTCCGGTTTTCTGTTTTATGTTCATAATTAAATTTTCCATAACTTGAATAGAAAGATTTTTTAGATTTGTTTGTTATAACATGTTTTTTTTATAAACAAAGTCGAAAAAAATAGGGTTTTTTAAATTTTTTTTTTCAACTTCAATTTTTTTTGTGAAAAAAACATTATTTTTACATACGAATTAATTTATGATGTACGCTGTACCTTCAAATTTAATGTCCTGTTTTTTTTTGTTTCAGACGTGATCATGGACGTAGGGACTGCACGGCGCGAAGTGCTGCTTTAAAAAATTGACTTCACATTATTTATAATAATTGGGCTAAATTGCAAAATTTAAAAAAAATGTCACTGATAATTAATCTTCATTAAATCCTTAATAACATACATAAAGAATCACTAACATTCATTTATTTCCCTACTCGCAATACACTCTCAAAGATAGGCCTCATTTTAGGCCTTCTAATTGTACTTCCCCCCTTAAGTTTCCTTTATAAGGGAGGCTTTCAGCCTGGGACTGGTTCGTCTCCACCCTGATTTAGAATCGATTGAGCTTGGAGGAACAGAATCGATATTTTGAGCCACCCTAATATACAGACTATCGCGTGATTCACCCTGAGTGGAACAACTGCTGATGTCGGTCGTCACTCGACAACAGCTTGGAGTTGATTGATTTGAATCATTTCCACATACATTAATTGAGAACTTTATATGGCAACCAATGCATGAGTTTGTATATTGTATGACAAGCAGAACGAAACTCTCTGCCCAGGGAAGTCAATACAATTCCCAACCAGAAAGATTTTCTATACCTGACCAAGACGCAAACCCGCCGCCTCCGGCTTGTTAAACCGTGCCTTAACTAACTGGCTATCTTAGGCCCCATGCATCTGTGTGTACTATATTAAAGACGTCAAACAGAATTACTGTATAAAAAATGTTCAAATTACTCCTCAATAAAGGTAGTTATCATCGTTTACCGTAAATAATAATCGACACGTGTTAGAACAAAGGCCTGTTTTATAGAAATGGTTCTAGATGGTTTAGTTGTTTTCTTGCTTTTGAAAACAATAAAACACTCAGATATCGAGTTCAGCGACTTCGTTGACACGTTTTTTCTTCAGCAAAATGAACATTTGTGAAAACATTACTTGGAAAAAAAAATGCGGTCTTCTGTTAGTGATTCTAAGAATATTAATGATCGTTTTCCGTTCGTGGTTGGCATTCAGGGATTAAATGCAACCCCGTTTAGGCACTTATCCAACTGCATCAGAATGAATTATTTCGTGATCACTTTTGTGTTGGCCGTTTTTGGCATTAGTGGATCGTTTGGTGGCATTTTCGATTCTTTTAGCACTAACACAGACTATAACATGGCATTTGTCATGGATACCATTTTCGGAGTAGCTAAAAATACCACGAAATACTTAGCCAATGGTAACAATACGAATCCTATCGAAGTCGATGTGACGATACGGTGTGGTAATCGGTAAGTTGTGTATAATTTAATTAACTAAAAAGCTAATTGAATTTTGATTTTTCAGTGGCACTGCTGATTTAACTCCCACTGTGATCAACGATGCTAACCTGAGTGCGAAATTGGATGTTTCTAAACCGATTGTATTCATCACTCACGGTTGGGTTGATAACGGTGATCGTCTCTGGATAAAGGAGCTCAAAGATGATTATCTTAAATTTGTTGACACGAACGTCTGTGTAGTAGATTGGGGCAATTTAGCCATTGTTGGATACATGATCTCAGTGAAGAACACTTTTGCCGTTGGTCAATATGTTTCAAAGTTCATAACCTACTTGAACGGTCAGGGGATCCCTTTGAGCAAAGTAACGCTCGTTGGTCACAGTTTGGGGGCCCAAATAAGCGGACACATTGGCTATAATTTAGGTGGTCAAGTTGGTTCTATTTATGGCTTGGATCCTGCGGGTCCGTTGTTTACAATGCCCTTTGATATGGGAACTGCAAAGCGTTTGGATAAATCGGATGCCATGTACGTACAGATGATCATCACTTCGAGATGCGCCACTGGAGTCTGCAAAGGAGATGGACATGAAAATTTTTACCCCACTGGAGGATGGGTACCTCAGCCGAACTGTGGTTTGCCGTTGTTTTCTAATGCCGAAAGCGCGGAGATGGTCAGCTGCAGCCATTCACATTCGATCACGTTGTTCCGAATGGCTTTGAATCCGAGCAATGTTTTCACAGGGAAAGCGTGTACGGATTATTTTTCGTACTATCCGGTTTTGTGCTTTTTCAGTGCTACCAACAAAATGGGCATCTATTCGAGCCGAATTGGAGGAAATTTCAATGTGAAGACGACCGCATTTGTACCGTACACGTGAGCTCTAAAACATTTTATCTAAAAACATTGAAATAAAAGTGTGAAAAGACAAAAAAAAAACATTTTTTTTAGAATTTTAATAGTTTTTCTCAATTAATATGTTATTGCTGATTGCATCAGATACTCGACAGTCTCGAAAATTTAAAAAGTGTGATAAAAGTGCACATTTCCGTTAAATTATGTTGGTGTCTTTGGAGCACCTATTGCTTGCATCATGAGAAATAAATGCACCGAAGATACCAAGACGATTAGACGGAAAGTCGCACTTTTATCACACTTTTTAAATAAGTAAAAGTGCGCTTATCTGTCTAGTTTGTTTTTTTTTTGCTTCAATTCATATAGTACGTTTAAGGTTTAACGTATGGCTGCAATTTTTCGCCATCATATTAGAGGTTATTAAGAGAGTCGAAGTGACATTTGTCACAAGTGAAGTGAGAAAAGTCGTGGTGACGTGAACGTGACCACCACGTGAATTTTCTCACTTCGCTAGTGAAAAAAGTCACTTCGACTCTCGGAATAACCCCCATTAACTAGCACATGAGATAGAAGGTATGCGCATTTTAACTGCTCATGGTCATTTTACCCCCATTTTCTCTAATAGGAAATCTCATGGATAGTTTTGAGAACGTATGAAAAACAAGATATTTTGCGTAGAAGTGTAAACTTTAATGGGATACATTAAAGTAAGTCGGTAGAAAAATCATGGGTTGGTATAAACACACATTTAATTGTTTTTTTTTTAACCTTTTTTTTCAGGGTATCAAAATATTCATTTTCAATTGTAAACAAAATAAATTTGATGACATTTGGTAACAAAATTGCTGAGATATTCTTATTTGAAGTTAGTGGTTTGAAAAAACGAGTCCCACGATATCTCATCACTGCTTTGACCAAATCGGCTCATTTTTAGGATGAAGATTCGTTAAACAGGTCCCGTGTGTCAGAATCGTCAGTTTTTTATTTTTGTATTTAAAAAAACATGAAATTTTAAAACCCGGCTACGTCATGCACACGGGATACATCTTGTGAGTCTTCACCCCTATTTGGTCCATCCAGTCCTGAGATATTGTAAATCAACTCTGTGTTTAGAGAAAAACGATTTGCAAGTTTTACAGTTCGATTTGCGCGTGGAAGAAAATTCGGTCAACGAACATCAGTTGCGAATACGTGTTTACTAATATTAACACTAACACGTGTTTATTAATACGAATCGAGATCGACCATTTTTGAAGAATCGATTTTTTGGTCGATTTTACATATATGTAACCCCTTAAATAATAGGTTTCCCTTCTTAGAACTAACGACCCTGTAAAAAGGAACATTGAAAATGTTTTATGATGTAATGAACACCTAACCTATTTGAGATCTATTTTTACACATCAGCCATGATTGTATGCTTCGTGTTTAGAATAGTGGCCTATGATACTTTTTTTAGAATAGCTTGAAAATCCGATAATATTTGTGAAGGGTGAGTGTTATTAATATACCATTATGACCAACTCCTTATTTTCAATTTTAGCATTTTTTTTATGTATCGCGAACGTTTGTTTAGAGTGGCTTTATCGGAATCTATATATATATATATATATATAGGGGAAATGGATGTAATGTCGGCCTAAATGCCCCTGATTTGGGCCCATACATAAATTGAGCAATCGACTAAATTTTCAATTCATGTAGATAAAATTGATAAATAGCAGATTTTTAGCGATGGACCAAATCTTAGATCCATAGGCCAACATTAGAGCCATTTCCCCTTTGTCTACTTTATCAATTCTATTTAAAATTTGTGAATGCTCGATCATCATTTTCAAATGAGGTTACCTAGTTTAAATCTCACTCTGAGTGGCATAATTCTGAAACAATTACTCTGCAAATGCATCTTCACCATAAGTAAGGCCAGAGGTGTAGTGGTAAGCGTGATTACCTCTCACCCAGCAGGCCTGGGTTCAATCCCAGTCGGCGCTGCCGGGATGTTCTGAGGCATAACATCTCAGATCAAAACCGCAAAGCCGTTGTTCCCCGGTTCATGAGTTGATGGGTCGATAGGTAGGGTTCCAGGTGGTGGGAGCTGCCTGGCGTCGGTAGCATTGGTGCTTAGCACGGAAAACACGATCGACGGAAAAGAAATCAAGGAAGAAAAGGGAGGTAATCATAGGCCTTGAGTGCTTAATTTTACCCAACCGATGCTCTTAAACATAATGTATCCTCATGTAAAAAATGAGCCTCTTGACGATAATAAGTATCTGTATTGCCGAAGTCGACATTTCTCATGCGTTAAAACGAATGTTCCTAAATATAATTATCTATTTCAAAAAATACAATCCATTGTTATCTATATGCTCGGTGCACATTTGTTCAAACAGAACCTAAACGAACAATGTTCACCATTTTGGAAACATTTAATATAAACGAGAATTTTTCACTGGTTAGAATCATTTCCAAAGCAAGTGGTGATACGGATACTTGGGATCACTATCGGTTTGCAGCAACGATGAAATACGTACTGAAATTGCTTGTGTTAGGCTTGTTGGGTAACAGTGCTTTCGCTGGGTTGTTGAATATTTTCAGCGCTAGTTCAGATTACAATGCGGCTCAGTTGATGGATAGTTTATTTGGTGCCATTTACAATACTACAGAGTTAATTGTAAATGGTGGTTCAAGCAATCCGCTGTCAGTGGATATTACGTTCTGGTGTGGCAATCGGTATGTTGATGTTTAGTTTATTTGGAATGTTTTTTTTTTACAAAATTGAACTTTTTAGAAACAACCCAAACCTGGTGCAGACGATGATGAACGATAGTAGTTTGAGTTCTAAGATTTCAACTTCAAAACCTTTGGTTTTCATCATTCATGGATGGTTGGACAACAGAAACCGAAACTGGATTACTAAAATGACTACGGATTACCTCAAGTATGTTGATACCAACATCTGCGTGGTGGATTGGGGAAATTTGGCTACGTATGCATACGCAATTGCAGCCAACAATACCTATACCGTTGGACAGTATCTTGCGCAATTTATCACGTTTTTAACTGGAAACGGATTCTCCTTGAATGATGTAACCCTGGTTGGTCACAGCATGGGAGCACAAATTGCTGGACACACTGGCTACAATCTTGGAGGTCAAATAAGTGCAATTTACGGTCTGGATCCAGCTAGTCCCTTGTTCAAGATGCCTTTCGATGTTGGACCTACCAAGAGATTGGACAAATCGAATGCAAAGTACGTTCAGATGATCATAACTTCCCGTTGCTTCTGGGGTGTTTGCGTGGGAGATGGACACGAGAACTTCTATCCGAATGGAGGGGCCGTTCCTCAACCGAATTGTGTTCTGCCTTTGTTTTCGAACGCGGAAGCCGCTGCACCAATCATCTGTAGTCATGCTCATGCGACTACACTGTTTCGAGAGGCCTTGAATCCTAGCAACGTTTTCAAAGGAAAAACGTGCCTGACATGTATATTCGGACTGTTTGGCAAGACTTCGAAAATGGGCATCTACAGCAGCCGAGTAGGAGGAGATTTCTACTTACTGACCAGCCCTTTCCCACCTTTTACTTTGTAGGATGATGAATAATGATGGGTTCACGAACATTTTTATTTGAAATAGATTTACGATCACAACATCAACGTATGTTAACATTCATTGGTTCATGTGCGTGACGGCCCACTCGGGTATACATTTGATTTACATGGTGTAAATAAAGCAAATAATCTGTCACGCACATATGAGTTAAAGAGGCTTTCAGCCGGAGACTATTCGTCTTCCGGAACCTGGTTCGATTTCCCGTAACAAATAAAATTAAGTCCTCCATGGTTCATACAAACAACTACTAACATAAATATCGAAAGATAATGTCGTCACGATCAATATGTTAATAAATAAAAACATTAAAGAGGCATTTCGAAAAGGCCATGTTTGTGCTACTACGTCTTTTTGTGTTACACATAAAAAAAGTGTTGTGAACTTCAATCTTTTTCATGTAAACTTTAGTCAATGTGAAAACATATAAATTAACAGGAGAAAATGACATGGAGGATTATATGAAGCACATGGTCATCATATAAGTTTACATGACTTGCATGTAAAATTAGATGACAAGCTTGTAAATTTACAGTTACATATCAAAAGCGGTAAAATTACATGCACAATTTCATTACATGCTGCATTTTGAAACCGTTTGTAACAGTCATTATTTTATAGTATCTACACAGTTCGAAAAAGTAGTGTAAATTTCACATATAATTTAAGTTTTGAGACATTTAATGAAATATTTCAAATATTGTACACAAAAGTCCATCTTTGTAAACAACATTGCTTACAAGTTGCTCGTTTGCGTAAAATAAAATACAAGTTTACGTGAATGAATGTTTACATCACAATTAAAATTCAGATTTTTTTACTGTGTACATAGTTCTTCTTTGTTTAAAGTGGTGTATAGTATACTGCAAATACTGGACACACTTGATCCTCTGGGACACTTGATCCCCCCTTGGTTTCTAGAAATCCTGAGCAGATTTGTTTTCGGGTAAGTTTCCACAAAGTTTTGTCTGGACGGAAGACAACGTGATGGTGACATTTGCATCAGATTGTGGAACGTATTAGGTGTGCAACTAAGTTTCCGCTGCTTGTCAATAGATGGCTCCAGCAGTAAGTGCTGGTCAATTGTGACATTTAAAACGTGATGAACCTAGTTTAGACAAGCTAAGGTAAACAAACTGCTTTGATACATTAGTGATTTTGTTTTTGCGTCATATACTTTTGGTTGTGTGAAAATGTTTGATTTTGTGCCAAATAATCGTCATTTGCGGGAAGTGTTGATTTTCTTCTTTCATTCGAAGAAAACAGCGGCTGAAGCGCATCGAGAACTCCAAAAAGTTTACGAAGATGCTGCTCTAAGTGAAACAATGTGCCTTGAATGGTTCTATCGCTTCAAAGACGATGATTTCGATATTGACGACCGTCCGCGTAAAGGAAGGCCAAAAACCATCGAATACATTGAAGAGGCCATGATCGATGAGGATCCGAGCCAAATGCAAGAAGAGCTTGCTTCAACAATAGGAGTTACCCGCCAAGCCGTTTCCAAGCGATTGCATGCGTTGCAAATGATTCAAAAGCAATGAACTTGGATTCCTTATGATTTGAAGCGTCTTTTTTTGCCTGTGAACAACTGATCCAGCGGCAAAAAAGGAAGGGTTTACTGCATCGTATCGTGACGGGTGATGAAAAATGGATTCATTAGTGCAACCTAAAGAGAAAAAATCATGGGGACTGCCCTGTTATGCTTCTACGTCATTGGCTCGGCTAAATATTCACGCTGTGTGGGACCACGTCGGTGTTATTTATTATGAGCTGTTGAAACCGAACGAAACCATCACTGGGGAACGGTATCGAGCCGATTTAGCCGAGCACTGCGCAAAAAATGGCCACAATACGAGCAGAGGCACGCAAAAGTGATTGTGATTGCTCGGCCTCACGTTGCCAAACCTGTTAAAACCTACTTGGAAACGCTCAAATGGGCAGTCCTACCCCATCGTCATATTCCCCAGATATTGTGCTATCCGATTATTTCTTGTTTCGTGCTGATCAGCAGTTCTGCTCATATGAACACATTACAAAATGGCTTAATTCGTGGATAACCTTAAATGATGAACACTTCAACCGTCACTCTAGATCCCTCTACTTGGAGCAGCTAGGGTGTGTTTGGTGGGGATTTACGCTGATGTCTAAAAACAAAACAAACTTTTTTTTTAATTATTTTTGCAATATATTCAACAACTTTTTTGCGGATTTCAGATTTTATGTTTTGTCAGAAAGGTAAAAGTAGAGATCTACTTGGACATACATATGTGTCTACTTTCATCAAAACGGGCAGAAAGAATAAAATATACCAATGATTTTAACGAATTTTACAACAATTCGGCCATTTTGGACCTTCTATTTTTCAAAATGGTGTCTTTGGCATTATCCAATAAATTATACCACTAAAATGTCACATCTGATCGAAATGACGTCTGAGACAAAGTTGTAGAATTTTTTCCCTTGATTTGTTTTCCGTCGATCTTGTTTTCCGTGCTGAGCACCAATGCTACCGACGCCAGGGAGGCAGCTCCCACACCTGGACCCCTACCTATCGACCCATCAAACTCATGAACCGGGGGGCCCAACGGCTTTACTTGCCTTCCGAAGGAAGGCGGGATCACAGATGTTATGCCTCAGAACATCCCGGCGGTGAAGACTGGGATTGAACTCAGATCTGCTGGGGTGAGAGGTAATTACGCTTACCACTACACCACCGGCGCCGCTTCAAAGTTGTACATAAAAATAAAGTTTTTCTAGGAAAAATATACATGGTTTTGTTTCTAGTAATTTTGACTACATATTCCGAAAAGTGTTAAAAACTGAAATTTCTCAGAAAGTATGTGTTTAATTTTTATATTGTTTCTTTAAAAAAAAATCACGGCGAACGCAAAATTTTAGCATATTTAAAACCATGGACACCTAAAAATCGTAAATCAAGAACTCTTGGTAAAATTTTTGAACTTTTTGCTAGTACGTTTTTTTTTGTGATTTCTCTTCAGGAAACATTGTTTGAGACATTCCAAATTGATATCTGTGCTAAAATTACATACAAGAGCTTGTTAACAAGAAGTTTAAAAATAGGACCAATAGTTGACGTTCTACGATTTTTTTTTAATTTTCATGTGGCCATGGATTCAATTAGGTACATCAAAAGTTTGCATTTTTCATGAGATATTATATTAAAAAAAAAAAATGCGTAAAAATGTACTTTTAGAGATATTTTTGAGCATTTACTACATCGGGTTTATCATGAAGCTTTAGTGTGCAAATTTATTTATTTATTGTCATACTAAAGCTTTATGTTCGATAGCATTTCCAACCAACTCTGACAATTGTAAACTTAACGTATGAAGTAACAAAAACACCTTCAATGTAAAATTTATTGAATAATGTTTAAGACGTCATTTTGAAAAATTCAAAAATTACATGATCAAAAATGGCATTAGGCCATATGAAAAAATGGCCATTACAGTCATACCATATAATTATGTAAAGTGTCATGCAAGGTACTGTACTTCTGTTCAACATTTAAAATAAATTCTCCTGCCGTGCCGTTTCAATGTATTCGTACGAAATAGAAAATCGTATGACGAATTTAAAATCAAGACGCAAAGAAATATTTTTAACACGATATGGTCAATGTTTGGCTTTTTTTTTACTGCAAGCTGTTCAGATAGAATTTTGGATGCATTTTTAAACTGATCCGTGCACCACACGCGTTTATTGCGTTTTTTTTATATTCACTCGCTTTTACGTTATATTTGCTGGTGCATCAAATTACGTGGTAATAAAAGAGATGCAAGCTTTTGTTTCCCAGATAGGGGAATTTACGTATTTTCGTCAATCTAAGCAGCGTCTGCACTTCTACTAGCATTTTCTCAGCGTCACGCACATATATGATGTGTCTGTTTGTTTACATTCATGTGCTGCTTGCTTCTCTATCCATTCCAATCGACAGAACTTTTCAAAACGTTTTGAAAGCGTTTTTACAACGCTCCAAACTTCTCAGGTGAGTGTGACTATTGTCGGCAGCCTCTTTTTCTTCGGCAACCTTCCCATTAGAACTGCGTGTTAACCAGCTGTTCTATTATCGGCAACTCGAAATCAACCCCATTTTGTAGTGCGTATGCTTTATTTGAAGAAAAATGTAGCATTACTGGATTGCTCGATCGTTCAAATATAATCAGATTGAAGCTGAAAGGCTAAACAATCGTTTGGACCCATTCAGGGAAGTGCGTTGATGGGAAAACATAGTGAAATTAACGTTTAAATTTTGGTTGCCGAAAACAGTCAATGGGTGCCGAAGCCAACATTTACCCTAGTATGATCTTGCGTATTGTTAAGCTCATACAGAAAAAAAAACCACTGAATTCACACTTTGGTGAGTTGAATCATCCTTGAATCATGCCGAGGTAATTCTATATGAATATCTTCGTTTCTGTCATTTTTTGAATTTTGTTTCGTTGTCGTCACGGATACAAACGGCGATGCAAACACAATCTGTTTGTTCGAAAGGTAATTACAGTTGATTACTTAGCAGAAGGTCGTGTGTTCAATACCAAGCACCCTCAAAAATTAAATGTTTTGACGGTCAGATTGATTTAATTTTCTTATGTCAGTTGTCCCCCATTGCTGGTTTGCATCGGACGTGCAACAAATTCTTTTCTTACGGTTGCTTCCGAAACGCCCGGACGCGGGAGAAATTCAAAAAATCCTCGAAAATAAAGTGAAACTTAAACTCACGGACACGACAAACATTCAGCTACACAATCTGCGTAACTGGGTATATATCGAGACAATCGATGGTGAAACCGCCTTACGCTATGAAAGGGCAAATCACAACAATCACACTATTATTTGCGATAACAAGGATTTCAAGATTCCTGTGTATGTTGAATGTGAAGCAGTGACAGTGTGCGTGCATGACCTTCCTTCTCACACGCAGCATTTGACCGTCATCAATTTCATGTGGCAGTATGGAGTT